GTTTTCTCTTCTTCTTCTCTAAAGCAGCGCAGCATGGCCTCAGCCTCTTTGCTGCCTTTTCCCGAGGGCAGGGTTTATCTGGGTTTGTGATGACACGAACCCGGGAATTAACTTGTTGTAGTCCCTACCAGCCGTTTTTGTAGGCATTAAACTGCCAGAATTTTAAAAGACGATATCTCCGTTTGCATTGAACGAAGACAGAATCGTGATTCATATATGAATAGATTTTTACGAGCACCTCTAGTTTTCTCTTCCTCTTCTCTAAAGCAGCGCAGCATGGCCTCAGCCTCTTTGCTGCCTATTCCCGAGGGCGGGGTTTATCTGGGTTTGTGATGACACGAACCCGGGAATTAACTTGTTGTAGTCCCTACCAGCCGTTTTTGTAGGCATTAAACTGCCAGAATTTTAAAAGACGATATCTCCGTTTGCATTGAATTTTCAGCTTCGTAACTTTGCAGATATTGTGTATGCTCAAACAGCAACATTACACACTAACTAACGTTAAAAAAGTGAAATCACAATCAACCACCCCTTTAAATCCCAAGTGAGCCAAAGGCAAGTGCGGAAAGGAACCCAAAGGATGAAACAATTACTGCTTTGGCGATAAACCATGATAAAAATCCCGATGGTTAGTATTATAGTTTCACACATTTACCATATTCGATTATTGCGATTTGAAAAACTCGCTGTAAATACTGCTCAACATTAAAGGGGTCATATGATGCGATTTAAATTTTTCCTTTCTCTTTGGAGTGTTACAAGCTCTTGGTGCATAAAGAAGATCTGTAAACTTGCAAAGACTAAAGTCTCTAGAATAAAGATATTCTTTATAAAAGTTAAGAGTCAGCCACACCTACCTAAAACGTCTCGTTCTAACACGCCCCCCACATATCTCCGTCACTATCTGGAAAGATTTGCATAACCCCGCCCAAATGTTCACGCAAAGAAAGAAGGCATAACTTTTATTCTCGCTGTAGTATTGTTGCCACCGCCGCCATGTCGTGAAGATGCTGTGTGCTTCGTTGTGAAAGCGAAACTACTTTGTTTGGTCTTCCAAAAGAGGACAATATCCGCTTCGTCATGCCTAGAGCTGATCCGTGCTGGTCGCTGAGGGAATACATCAGTATGGTAAGGGGCGTAACATTTCCGTCACACGCTTGAGGTATTCGGCCAATCACAACGCATTGGATAGCTGGCCAATCACAGCACACCTCGCTTTTTCAGAACGATGAGCTTTGTAAAAATCGACGCGTTTCAGAAAGGCGGGGCATAGAGGAGAAACAATAATGTACAGTATGTGGAAAATAATGTGTTTTTTAAACCTTAAACCGCATAAACACATTTAATTACACCAAATACACAAAATAATGTTCTTTTTAGCAACATTATATGACCCCTTTAAGCAAATTTAGTCTCAACACTTCAGATAATAAGGTAGCCTTTGTAGAACTGTTTATGGAGCAGATAAAATGCCTAAAATGTATTATTTTTCTTAATGATTTAAAGGCAGAAATGTGAGGTTTATCATTTTATAAAACTTTTTTTTTTACTTTATTTGAATATTTAGTAGCCTAAATGTTAATGTATAACATGTTATTCACCCAACCAATAATTTTTGTTTGCTTAAAATTTTAATGTTATTATTTTAATGTTTATGCAAACAAAAAGTGCATAATTTTACACGTTTTTTTTTATATATATAAAACTTGGTGATTTCACTGTATGTGAGTACTTTTTGAACACTTCCAGCACATGATACTGTGATAATATTGATAAACATGATCATTTTGGTCACTATAATAGTACACTCTTAAAAAATAAAGGTGCTTCAAAAGGTTCTTCAAACGATGCCATAGAAGAACCATTTTTGGTTCCACAACGAACCATTCAGTCAAAGGTTCTTTAAAGAACCACCTCTTTCTTACCTTTTTATAATCTGAAGAACCTTCTTTAGCCACAAAGAACCTTTTGTGACACAGAAAGGTTCTTCAGATGTTAAAGGTTCTTTATGGAACCATTTAGACAAAAAGGTTATTCTATGGCATTGTGAAGCACCTTTATTTTTAAGAGTGTAATATGAAGTTTCAATTTGGCAGGTGACAGAAATGGAGAAAAAAAAACTTGGGAAAAACCAGACTCAGGTAGAACAGATCTCCTCAAGCCTAAGCAAACGAACATGGTGTGATACTGATCGGGGTGGGAAAGGAAGACTCGTAGTTTATCCAGCAGGTTGAAACATGAAGGTAGAGCTGACTTTTTTTGTTTAGTTTAGCCAGTAGAAGGAGTCACCACCAATCTGGGTTAAATCTTACCATTCATATGATTGATTTTCTCTCCAAATTATTTGAACATGCAGGCTTAATTATTATTTACTGTATTTGCAGTGAATACCTTTGTATAGGAATTCCCTTTAGAAAATCTTTTGGGTTTGCACTATATATATATTACAATTCAAACCATTGTCTATTACAACAGACATAAATATAGACATAAACAATTTTTTTATTAGAAATGCAGCTCTCCAATATGATATTATAAATTGTCTGACTAATATCACCACTTAGCTTCACTTAAAAACAGTGAAATTGTTATTGATGTAGTTAGTTATGCCACACTTCCTGTGTTACAGGCTGCAGTGCCATGTTCAAAGGTGACATTTAGCAATATTACTCCAACAATACTTCCCAGGTTGCCTCATGACAAGTGGGAAGTGCTATTCACTAAAACAAACACTGTATCTGAACTGGATAAACATATTGTGCAAGTTCTACAATGAATATATTTCACTAACCGGCAGTAGGTTGGGTTAACAGTGATTGGGTGTGTCTGAGAGTGCTAGAACTGACACATTTCTCCTAAATAATTTGGAAAAGAGAAGGACCTGAACTGAGGCGAGATTTGTGAGATTTCACTACATTTATCATTACTGAGATTTCACTGCTAATAAGTTAAAATAATGTAGTGTAAATAAATTAATAAAATTAATGAATATTATTTTCCAATATAACGTTAATATAACGTTAATATTACATAAATATTAAGAAACATATTATAGGCTACTAGTGCCTTTTATTGCTGGAACATAATGTGATTGTTATTCTAAAATATATTAACGTGCAGTTTTCAAATGTGTCGTGTTTTTAATATTTATTTATAGACCAACTGTATTTTAAATGATTACATCACGTAACAAATAGCCTGTAACTTTTAAACTGTTACAAATCTCTTCTGAATAGTCATTTATTAGCCTACCTGTTATTACAGACTAGCATGCATCTGATGAAGTGGGGAACAGTAGATAACGGTAGTTGAGCAGCGATGTACTCTTTCTGCCAGGGTTCGTTTCAGCTTCAACGGTTCTTTAGTGAGAGACATATTTACGTAATTACGTATTCCCTAAAATTACCTCAACAAGTTGCATGTTTAAAGGGGTCATATGATGCTGCTAAAAAGAACATTATTTTGTGTATGTGGTGTAATAAACTATGTTTATGTGGTTTAAGGTTAAAAAACACATTATTTTCTACATACTGTACATTATTGTTTCTCCTCTATGCTCCGCCTTTCTGAAACGAGTCGATTTTTACAAAGCTCATCGGTCTGAAAAGCGAGGTGTGCTCTGATTGGCCAGCTATCCAGTGCGTTGTGATTGGCCGAATACCTCAAGCGTGTGACGGAAATGTTACGCCCCTTACCATACTGTGATGCCGTGTCCCGGAGCGACGAGACAAAAACATTAAAACCCGTTATAAACGAGGCATTTGTTGCATCCAGTGGGGACATAATTACGGATTATAATGACTTATACGGTCTTTTTACACGCCGCGTAAACATAAAACCATGTCATTTGTGATCTGAGAAATGACAAACAACAAGCGCTACTCTACACTGCCCAAAGCTCGCTTTTGAATATAAAAAAAGTACTTACAGTCTGTGAGTCAGAACAGCCGGCATTGTAGTCTACTCTCCCAGGATCAGGAAAGTCCTCCATTAAATGCGCTGGACACATCTGAATATTTGGGTTGAACTGTTCTGGAACAGTGTTGTAAATACAACTTAACAACCTATGACACAGAATAGCATACGCTGCTTGCGTTCAGTCGTCATTCTCCAAAAGAGCGCTACGGTGATGCGGAGAGACACAGAGGAGACGAATTGTTGAATAAAGTCATTATTTTTGTTTTCTTCGCATACAAAAAGTATTCTCGTCGCTTCATAACGTTACGGTTGAACCACTGATGGTAGATGGACTATTCTGGCGAACGATGTCATTTCATACTTTTCTGGACCTTGACAGTGTAATTTACTTGGCAGTCAATCGGACAGTCACAATCCTCCTAGTTTTCATCCAAAATATCTTAAATTGTGTTCCGAAGACGAACAAAGCTTTTAGGGCTTTGGAACGATATGGGGGTAAGTGATTAATGACTAAGTTTTCATTTTGGGGTGGAGTATCCCTTTAACATTTAAGACATTAAGATACACCTAAATAAGGCATTACATTATGAAACACTGTAGGAGTTCCTAATCACTACATAGAATAAGAATCACTACATAGAATAGAAGACAATATAATGGCCTAGATGAAAATGGTTACAATGCGACCCTTCTGTATTATTCCAGCATCTGCTGCTATGAAGAAGTGGAGGTTCTTGTGGTGGACAAGTCAGGACACATAAGCAGGTCTCCTCTTGTTATGAAACATGTTACGACGACATTCAAGCCAGTGACTGTAAAAACCCACATCCAGTAGCTCCATCACAGCCATCTCTCTGTGGTCAAGTTTAATACTGATGGCACTTAAATCTATGCTTCCCTAAGATGGATGTGCATTTTACGTCCACTCACTTCATTCTGTACACTGTAATTATAAATGTACAATAGAAATTGTATTGTACATAAAAATGCATTTCAACACGATGCATTTTTATTGCATTTCAAGCACTTGATGTCAGTATTAAATCAATGACTCTGTGTATTCATGGTACATGAAAATGTTGCTTGCCTGTACTTTTTTGTTCATTGTTATTTCTTCTGCATTCATGTGGTTGCTATACGTTGCTGTATCATTAGATAATAAAGTGAAAGTAGCAGTATGTATTTGTTTATTCTGACTGTTTATTCTAACTTTTATTCGACTTCATAAACTGCTAAATAACCCAAACTATTTTATGTTACGCAAAATACGGGGCCTGGTTGCCACAAAACCATTAGTTTGTTTTGTGTTATAGCGCCACCAAATGGCCAATCCCATCTACTTTTTCTATGTGTCCTCAGATTGATAGTTTGAAGAGTTTCACATGAATGGAATCTATGAAGTGTGTGTGTGTGTGTGTGTGTGTGTGTGTGTGTGTGTGTGTGTGTGTGTGTGTGTACAGTGTGTGTGTGTGTGTGTGTGTGTGTGTGTGTGATTTATATTTTTATATTAATTATCATACACAATTATTTATGGATAAAAAGAGTGAGAAGTGTGAAGTATAAAAAGCATAAATGCAACAGTTTGGCTTCAAAGGTCTTAACTGCGCACTAAGTGCCCTTTTAAACTCAGGTGGTAAATTAGTATTATAATTTTACACTTCATCCTCGACCAAACCACACGTCTTGTCACTTACCACTATTATTCAACCACAGTTTTCCACATACGTTGGCATTGTTATAAGTCAAATAATAAATGACAGTTTTCTATCTATGATTTAATTGGCTTGATAGTCATAGAAACAAATGCAAAGAACCAGCCTGATTTATTGGTAATAAATAGAGTTATCTTAAAAATAATACATAACATAAGTTATCTTGAAATAGCTTAAAAGAGTCAAACATATTTTCATTTATTTTCATTCAGCAGTAGCAAACCTTGCCTAATCAACATGATCTTAATAAATAGTTAATTCTGGCAAGGTTTATCTAAAGCAAGTGCATGGTCACTAAGTTCATTTAGAGAGATCTAACTTATGTAATAAGGATGTGACACAATTTGTTTGTTCTATATATATTAAAATGTCAGGGTGATGCAAATTTACTGACATCATAAAAAAGGAACATTTCTTTCTTAAAATAATGAAGGTCTTCCACATTTGATTACCGATTGCTTTTAAATTCAACTCATCAGTTCTAAAATGTTCAAAAAACTCAAAATGTGAATTCAAAGACAATAAAACTTTAACATTCCTCAAGAAAATTCCTTTGCATTTAACACATTAAGATAATTATTACATTATAAAACACTAGTTAATCACTAACAAAATAATCTTCTTCGAATTCATAAGAAGACCAGTTCTACTTGCTGACAATCAGCACAATTATGCTGAGTCTATTTGTCGGTTATGACACACTAGGTCTGCAGTTCAAACTTGATTTTGATCAATTGCATCTAGCAATAATGAACCAGTGGTAATTTGCAATTATTAGAAGCTATTTTTATCTAATATAATCCCCAGATTTAGTAACCTAAACTAAACTTTAGAGTTATATTATTTAACATCACTGAACTGAAGGTCCTAAGGCATTTAGCTGGGTTCAGTGATGTTCATTTATTTAATGTTTATTTCTCATAGATGTACTTCGCATTATCCACTTTAATGATACTATGCAGACTGGAAGGCATTGAATATCAAAAGCACCAGAGAAAGGGCTATTCATTGGCATTATCATGGAGTCTGAATGGGTTAAACATTAACAACAAATTTGTTTTGAAAATTTAGTATTGTGCAATTTCTATTTACCAAATGTAACACTGTAAATTTGTGTGAGTGTGTCAGAGACAGGACTGAAACATCTCAACAAAATAATTCAGATAGAACAGATACCTGCTACCTGAGATTTCACTACTTTCCACTGGAAGTTTCATCACTTATAACAGGAAGTAAAAATAATCAACAATTATTTTTACTTAAGTAATGCAATGCAACTTGATGACTTGTGTGCAACTCTATTTTTAATATATATCCTAAAGGCCTATGTTTTATTTGATAACTTCACTTAAGGCCTGAAATCACGAATGAAATAGAAAATCATTTTTATAAACATGTATTAAGTCAAAGATGTCTTCTGAACAGTGATTTATAAAAATATCTAAAACAAGCTAAATTAACTTGAATTGAAAACAGCACTAAGACTTTTTTTCAGAAGTTTTCAGAAAAATATCTTGAATTCTTAAATTATTGAATTCAATTTTTTCAATTCAATAATTTAATTTAAAGTGGCTGAAAGTGACATGACATGTGGCCAAGTATGGTGTCCCATACTCGGGATTTGTGCTCTGCATTTAACCCATCCAAGTGCGAACTCACAGCAGTGAGTAGGGAACAAACACACACACACACACACACACACACACAGTGAGCAGCCATTTTTGCTGTGGCGCCCAGTGAGCAGTTGGGGGTTGGGTGTCTTTCTCAAGGGTCTCACCTCAGTCGTGGTGTTGAGGGTGGAAGAGAGCACTGGTCATTCATTTTTGTTAGTTATATATAAAAGGTTAAAATGTTATACTGTTAAAGTTACAATATTCTGTTCAAGAAAATGAATTGTTGCGGTGCAGAAAAAGGTCTTAAAAGAGGAACAGAACAGCCTTTTTAGAGTTGGCTACATAAAATATAAACATACATGTGGAATGTTTTAATGGAAATTAATTCTCCTACAAAAAAAGTTTTGGGCGTGACAAATTTTGTGTTTTGCAAAGTTTGCTGCTTCAGTATTTGTAGATTTTTCCACATGTTTCTATGGTATACTGAAAGACAATGATAAGCATATCATAAGTTGTAAAGGCTTTTATTGGCAAAACAAAATATGAGTCAAGATTTACAGTGTTGACCTTTGTTCTTCATAACCTCTGCAATTCACTCTGGCATGCTGGATATAGCTTCTGGGCCAAATCCTGACTGATGGCGATCCATTCTTGCCTTATTAGTTCTCAGAGTTTATCACAATTTGTGGGCTTCTGCTTGTCCACTCGCCTTTTGTGGACTGACCACAGGTTCTCTAGGATTGAGATCCGTGGAGTTGTCTGGCCATGGATCCAAAATGTCAATGTAATGATCTTCGAGTCACTTCTTTATCACTTTTGCTTTGTGACATGCTGCTCCATCATGCTGGAAAATGCAGGGATCATCACCAAATTGCTCATGGATCGTTGAAAGAAGTCGCTCTTGCAGGACGTTTTGATACCATTCTTTATT